TATCCTCCAGTGAGCTAATTATCTGGATGCTTTTGTTTTGTCTCAAGCAAGGCCCAAAAGAGCAGGGCAGCAGGTGCAATAAGGCAAGCTTGATTTTCGTGCGTCGGAGCCACTTCAAGGGCAAAATTGCATCATCCATCGGACCCATCCAGAGATACTCTGAAAAAGGGGTAGCTTTGGAGGTTCTCTGAATGTGCATAGGTTGTTCTCGCCTTTGAAGGAAGCTAATGGCGCTGGTTCTCTTTCAAGACCAGCCAGCGCCTGGCTGTCAGTGTCGGGACCTCCACAATCTTCTCCTCAGAATCGTGCAGCAGTCTGGGCTTCTGGGCTCGCGTTTGCCTTTGTCCAGAGTGCCGCGTTGCTGAATACTAAGAACGCCAGGAATGCTTGGCTGGGCACCCTCTCCTTGTGTCCCGCACTGTATGCCAGGGAGGTCTTGCCAGTGCCTGCAAGCGGAAAGCCAAGATTTGCTTCCACCGCAAACCGCCCTGTGTCTTCCCATCCAACACAGTGCCCTCAACTACGAACTCGGGCAGCCACCAGTTGAAAATGGTTCAGCCACTTTTCTCGGCATCCTCCTGAGTTCCTCTTAGGGGCCGACGGCCCTATCCGGAAGACCCTGCCCAACCCTTCGCCCTGCCTGCGCAACCCACCATGGCCACACTGATCGACTCCATGGCTCAACCGAGCTCATCGAATTACAACACGGATTGAGGGCTGGTCATATGGGCCACGCGCCCTAGCTGCAAATGCGTTCTTTGATTGGTACTGTTGTCGGGAAGGGTTGTCAAGAGGGAGCCAAAGGGACACGGACACAACTCGTGCTTGGGGGTTCCCGCGGCTTGGAGACAAATCCCAATGGCAGCATCCTCTCACAAAAGAAAGGATAGCGATATGCTTGAAGAGGCGCCATGTGCTGGACTTGAACCTGTTGCCGATTGGCCAGCTCAAGTCTGCTTCAGCAAGAACGACTGCATTTGAGCCAAGCTGCCAGAGTAGGTTGCATGGCGTCTCTTGAAGTCCGTACTCCGGTGAAAGAAAGGCCAACTGCATCACGGAGGCATCCATGTTGCAGCGGTTTGTGTGCTTAATCCCTCCCCTCACAACTCATGTTTCCCGTATGGGGAGTCAGGACCCCAAGTGGCCGCACATGACAAATGCGGTTGGGGCTCCCTGGTTCCGTGGTGAAAAGCGAATTTTTGCTTGAGTCAAACTGATGGCTGACTCCTACGAGTTGTGATTCTACGCCCTCATTGCAGAACTCAAGGGAAGCAAGCCCGAATCAAGTCCCGGTGATCCACGAAAGCAATTTTGGCAAGCCCTAAAAGTGCAACCACTTTAAGCCAGCTGGAGCCGCGCGAACCAAACCAGCGCAGTCGCCTCTTCCCGTGGAGCAGCCGTGCCATGGCCGCGTGCTGCACCACACCCACGCCCGCACGGGAGACACCTCCAGCCGGAAGAGAAGAGAACGGTTTTGGCCAAAGAAACGTTTGAAGACTTTGGCTTGCCATTGGTTCAACCCCCTCTAACATGGAACCCACCAGAGGTCCCTTTTGAAGCAAACTTAGGCACTAACAAGCCTACAAAAGCACGCGGCGGTGCGTGGACTGGTCGTCATCTGATGGCTGGCTTCAGTCCACATCACCAACGGTGACATCTTTTGTGTGTGTAAAGGACATTGTATTTTGCCGGACCTACCAATCGCTGCGCAACATGTGAGGTAAATGTCAGTCGGTGACCACAAGCGTATAAAGAAGCAGAAGATCGGCTGCACCCATTTATGATTCGGACTCTCCCTTTCTAACCTCGACTTACCTCTTACTGGGTGTTGATGGCTTCTGCACCATGCGGCCTCTCGCTGCAGCCACGGCGCTAAAAATCACGAGGCCCGAAGTCAGAATTACTTGAGACCTGTGCAAGGCAGAAAGGGGAGGCCAAACAAGCGACACTTCCCAGAAGGCCAGACAGGACACCCCAGCCACCGCCCAAACACCAACCCATCAAGAAAGCAGAAAGTGTATGGTTGGACAAATGCTTCAATACACACGAAACCGAGGCGCCATCCCAATGCATGACACACTGAAGGACATGCTCAGCTGCAATCATCAAAACAGAGTCTGCCAAGCTGCTTCAGAATGGAATCCTCGTCAGCCTCAAGTGGTTTGTGCGCATCGTTGCAGTCTAGCAGTGTGACTAAATAAGAACCACTCAGTCTAGCAGTGTGACTAAATAAGAACCACTCTCAAGACTGGCAGACGGGCATACATCCCTACAAATGATGTACGCCAAATGATCCTGATTCAAACTCATACCCCGTGCCAAACACAAAACCTGTGCATTGAAATCCGGGCATGGAGCGAGGGCAAAGCCCAGGCAGAGGACTAACTGCCCCAGGAGGTCGCCCAGTGGGACCAGCACCTGCACCAGGCCTCGGCATGTTCGAGACTTGAATTTGGGGGAGCCGGAGGTTTGGAATGACCCTCAGGAATCTGAATCCGATATGAAACCTGTGCCGACGAAGAAACCATTGCATCTTTCAGCAGCTGGCTGACTCATTCAGGGCAAGTGACATCCTTGCAAGCTCCCTTGCACTATGAGAAACTTGCAGGCTTCCTGCCTTGGGCCTCATAGGAAGCCAGGAGGTCTAGGGTCGGGTCCCAAAGTAATCCAGGTCTGGCAATTGATCCCAAAATGGCCGTGATTTCCTCAAACAGCCCTTGCGGCCTTATCCTTATGGAGCGGTTGTATTCATGACAGAAACTAATTGAACGACGGCAAGCCCCTGTCCCCTAACACTCTCCACCCCCGGTCGATACCAACGGAGGCGTATCTGGGATCCACTGGAATGGCCATGCATTTCAGAAAGATGTTTCGTGTGGATGGTGGCTTTCCACAAAGGGGATTGGCGGTGATCCTGCATTCCGGCAGGAAAATGCGTACTGCCCCTGGTGTACCTACCTGGTGGATTGTGCATGATTTACCTGTTAGGCATGCAAACGATTGCCTTGTCTAGAGCGCGGGTAAATGGTCTCCTCCCTCCCAAAAAACGGAAAGGAAGCTACTTCTGGCCTAACCCACAACCAGCCAAACAAAGCCTTGAACCAACTCCTTGCATGATGTTCAAGCAAGATGGAAACCCTCTATTCAAATGAGCAATGGGGGTCCCTGTGTGCCCCTTTCAAGCATCATCCTATCCAAAAAAGGACCATTCAAACTGCCCAAAAAGTGTGGTCTCAAACAATGAGCCATGCCTTCACTTCCAAATCGGCGGCTGCTTCAGAATGTCGACAACGAATAACCGCGTTTCAACAACCGAAAAAGGGCCGGGAACTCAACCAGTGCAAGTGGCCCAACCAAAATGGAGAAAGTGAGCCTGGTAATGCCAAACCTCCGCAACAGCTCTGAAAAACATCCAGAGAACCAACTCCAACTCCCCACCCACCACCGATATCTTTGGTATACCACACCCCAGCCAAAAAAACATAAATCGTCCCGCAGATGTCTGGCCCGAGCCGCGCTCAGAGCCCGTGTAGGCGTGGCCCCACAACACCGGCGCCACGATGGCGCCCAGCTGCGGCGAGGCCGCCACCAGCGAGTACCTGACTTGCATCGCCGGTGTGAGGCTCCGGAAGGTCGCTCTTGGGGCTGCGGAAACCATCTCTCGGTGCGCGGAAAAAAGCCGACAACAAAGAGCCCCGCTGGACTTGGCACTACATCTCTTCGCAGCATGTGACGGACCCTCAGCTCTATCTGCAGCCAAGGCACAGCAAAGGAGATAGGCCCTGCACAAAGCGCGAAAAAACACCAACTGATCTGAATAGCTGTTTGATGCTGCATTTACCCATCCGTTGCATGTTGGCGAACATCATTTACATGAGAATCATTGCCGGCAATGCCTAAAAGGCTGCAACCATCTGCATGTTATCTCCGGCATTTAAAAAGCAACTGCCCTGACAGCCCTGTTCATGGAAGGCCGTGTTGAGCATCGGCCATTCCACTGGCCCCTCGGAAAGGGCTCGCTTTTCCAGTGCCCTCGCAACCTCTCCTCGGCTTCTAGAAGCGGCGCTGCAGGAGCCAGCGCATTTTTGCTGCTGTGGGAGCCTGGACCCAAGAAATCAACCAGGTTTCCCCAGAAGCGTAAAAGCTCATGAGTCCATGAGGTTGTGTTTCAAAACTGGTCAAAAGGTTTCCTGAAACGTGTGAAGTTGAATCGTTCAAGGAGCCAGGAGCCTGACCAATGAGCTGCGAAATCGGCGTGGGAGAAAAATGTGGGGAAGGCATCGTGGAGCTTGACAAACGAAACTTCAAAAGAGCCAAAGCCAGAGAGGGTGATGCAAATTCAGGAAGGGGACTGAGGAATGCCCCTCAATCAAATCCTTGTACTTTGAGAAGCGAGCCAACCGCTGCAACCGTGTATCAATGCATGCACAGTCCCCAGTCCTAGGCCGATCAGCAGAACCAGCAGTACCAGGGGCACGGCGCCTGTGAAAGCTCAGAAGCTCGGAGCCAGCCGAATTCTTTAAAGATGGACTGTCAGGGTGTGAAGGCATGAATCTTAGGCTTTCAACCTGACCGAGAATCTAGAAGATAATCTTTCTTTTGTAGAACAATATCTGATGTACAGGTTCAATTGTCTGGTCGCGGGAAGGTACTGGCTGGTGCACCCACCTCTCCACTGGCGCGTTGGCTCCGCCTCTCCATTGTCGCTCCAGAAGCGCATAGGCCGACGAAACCAAGCAACGGGGTGGGGCTGAAGGGCACCCGGGCTGATGGGTAGGAGCTGGGCTGGGCCATCTCGGGAATTGAACTCCATGGGCTTGGGAATTGGGGGACTGCTGACTCCATGGGGCCCACGGCCGCATCGCTGTCTTGTGGACCCTGACTTGGAGCCAAGAGCAAGTTACGACCTGGTCCAATCTCAGACTAGCAACTTGCAAAGAGGTGCTACCTGACCAGATGCCTTGCAGGTACGCCCTACTTTCGCGCACCGGGTCCGAGACTCTGCGCTGCAAAGGTGATAGGACCTGCCACTCCTGGCAACAAACTAATGCTCCCGCAAAAGGGGAATCCATGCGTCCAGCTGGTTGACTTCTTGCACAATCCAAGCAAAGGATGGCAGCCTGTCATGTTGCTACTCGGTATCCTGAATGCATGGACCTCGCACTTGCACAATCTCGCAGAAACAGAGTCTCACAGCAGCTCCAAATGTCCTTCAGCGTGGCCAGGACTTGCTCGTCTGTGTTGTCCTGCACGCTCTCGATCTTTCTCGCTCTCTCCCGCAAGTCTTCCACTAGAGACCCCAGGACGCAGGCCTTACCGTGCAGAAAGAGCTTCAGAAAGACAAGGAAGGGCGAGGGCAGGCTAGCAGTATCGAGCCTCAGAGAGCTGGGGAATTCGAGCTCTCGTGCACACAGGGAACTCGTATGGCCCGTCAGAACCCGGCAAAATCAAACCCGAAAATAGTTTGTCCCCTCCAGACTGTGAAAGCAAGAAGAAAGCTACCTTTCGGCAGAAGAGCATGCAATCTGCGGTGCCCACCCTAGGCGACGAACCAGCACGCTCGGCCTCACATGCTGCTTGATGTGAAAGTGCTTGACATGAGATGGGAATGAGAAAAACAAGTGCTACAAATCGGACTTTCCCAAGTTCCCGAGTCGTTTGAAGTGCGGGCATCTAGATAAACGCCCACATTCTGGCACTTGTGAGGCTTTTGCTTGCTCAGCGCTCAAAAAAGCTCAGGTCAGGTCCGCTTGCTGCCTTTCACCGGAACATCTTCCTGCGGCGTTCGTGTGCGCGTATCAAAGCGCCACGGCTGCTAGCCACCCACCTGAGATCCAGCCTCCGTGCCGGTGCCCACAAGCACGCCTGGCATATCAGCCCAAGAAATCCTCCAACGTGTCCTCATCCAAAGCATGCAAGAGAAAAATGAATCCATGTTGATGTGAATTGCTTGGCTTGTGTGTGCTGGCATTTCCCTCAATATTGCCTCCTTGTTGAGAGTGCTTAGAACCTTTAAGTCTAAACAACAGCCCATGTCTATCCTATGATTCTGACAGGGCCCTCGAAAAAGCTTGGCTTTGCAAAGCTTCTGAGGCAGTCATCCTGCATGGGAACTCGAATGCACAGGACGGAAAAAATGGACCCCTTCACCACTCTCCTAACAATTCAGACATCACTGAGGGCGCCCTTACCTGCCCTTTCCTCTGCCAAAATCCCAAGAGGTCCACGTCAACTGTGCCATGAAGTGAACAATAACCTTGATCGCAAATCAAAACTGCCAATAACAGCCCAGCCTTTCTCCAGCACTTCAGCTCGCTCGCCAATCATTTTATCGACTTCCTGGGAGCGTGTTTAGCAAGTGTGCGCGCAACTTGCTTGCCTGGACCCGGAAGAATGCCAGGCCAGAAGCAACATGAATCACCATCAAAACCTGGTGCCAAACCCATGTAAAGACTTGGTTGCTCAGAAACGCCCTCCAATCATCCTTCAAGGTCCAACATCCAGGGCTCCGGGCACCCCGCAACTGGACGAGGCCCGGGTCTGTGGAATGCCTCTACGGCCGGACCACACGCATGGCCCAAGAAACGCCAATCGCCCTGGCCCTCTCACTGGAGTGCCCGCGTTCCGGCGAATCCAGCTGCCAAAACTGGGCACCGACTTTTTGAAATGGCCTATTTTGTGTGTGTGTGTGTGTGTGGTCGAGAACACAAAGCCTGTATCGTGTGCATCTTGACGTGTGTCCAAACCAAGAAAGAAACGCCTTGGCTTCCTCTTAGAGTCAGGTTCTGTTTTGCGAGCTTCTGCACCCCGGCTGCCCGCCATTTCGGGCTCCACGCGTCAGGCGCTGGCGCATGGCCAGGAGGTCCCGCGCCTCGAAAAAGTCCCAAGCTCAACTTAGCCCCGAAGCTCGGGTGTTTGTGGGTATGTGGATATTCTCGAGAATTGCCGGGAGACTTAAAGACCACAGAAAAGAGTAGGAGAGAAAACAAAGAAGGATAAAAACGATGATCGTTGTCCGCAACTGGCACTGCATTGGTGATGGTGAGTGTGACCCATGTCATGCCCTACTCCAGCAAATGAGGCTATATATTGAACGTTGCTCATACTCATGCGTGTCTCAAGTTTTGGTAGATCAAATGTCACCTTCTCGGGTTACCCCTTGCACAATGTGGTTTGTTGTTTCTGCTGCTGGGTATCCTTTTCAGGTTGGGCTTCCACTTTTGCCATGGCGACCGCTCGAACCTGGGCCGGCCCAGCCCTAGTTACCAAGCTGGGAGGGGTTCGAGCAAAGTGGCTGGACAAAACTCCTGTCAACAATTGCCGTGGTTCCCTCAACTCCATGGGATTGACAATCTATGCCTAAAAGGGTACTTTGACCATAGTACATCTCTCGGTTGGACACTTCTGGCCCTATGGGAATCCCAAAGAAGGAAAGGCCTAAAGTCTGTCCCTCTCGAGAGGTGCAAAAAAGTGTCTGACGCCCACACAAATCCGAACCGCCTTGAGTCCAATCAGCTCAGTGCCAGCCTCCTCGTCTGCCACCAGCAGCTCCCAGCGACGTTCCAGCTCTGCCTGAGCCAAACATTGCATGCCACTTGCAACAGCCAAGAAAATGTGGCTCTGCAATTATGGTCCCATGTGCAATGTGGTTTGCGTTGAAAGTTAACTTCAATTGAGGTTTCAACCCATTCCGAGCGTGTCGGTAAATCAAGTACCGAGACTTGCCTTGGCCAGTCCCATGCAGCATGACTCAAGTCCAAGACCATGTCCCCGCACGCCTCCCTAGCCGAGCAACGGACTGCCCCACTTGCATTCCCTTTGTGCGCGTGCTCCATTGCCCAGCCCTTGAACAGCCCCCCTCAGCCCCTTTAGCCCCCCATAGCCTTGGCAGCCGGCAGCTTGGAGGCCTTGAACTGCGCCCAGCTGATGCGCGCCTGGCACACCCCCGCAGAAACCTCTGCGCGTGACTCGAAATCAGACCTCCCAAAAATCGCTCCTCCTTCCTCGTTTTTTTTTGTTGGAACGAATCACCAGAGAAGGAGGCCAGAGAGGGTTCGAGACACGTGAGGCCCTCGTCCGGCCTGCAAGCGCCGACCTCGCGGCTCGCACTTCGGACGGCCTTCGCAAGTCGCGAAGGCAACCCGCAGGGTTAAGACCCACGAGAGGAGCCCTTAGCGCATCCGAATTGTCGCTGGTGTCGCGCGTGTGCCAAAGTGCCAAGTGCTAGCTTCAACTCTGAAAATGCGATCCCGGTGCACAACTCGCGGAAGCTTGTGATATTCCCTCTGCTTCTCTGTGAGTTTGTCATGAAAGCGCGTTGCAGTCGAACTTGGTCCCGGAAGAAACTCAAGGCACAAGGCATCAAGAAATGTTAGCTGCTTCCAATTCTGTGCGCGCGGGGGCCTTTCTGGATGACTCTTTTTTTGCTGCACACGTCCTGCGGGCAAGTGTGGGTGTGTGTGGGTGTGTGCGTGTCGACCTTGGCACGCATCGGCAAGGCTGACCTTTGTTATCTGAGCCACTGCCTGTGGTCGGGCATGAAGAAGACTGGTGGTCTTCTCACCGGCATTTGTGCCAAGGCTGGCTTCTGAATCGCATCCGCAAAATGCAGGATCCAGTCCGTGGACTGACCCGTCGTGTCGGCTCCTGAAACATGGCGCCCAATTTCTCTAAGGTGCCTAAGAACCTGGGTCCCCCCGCTCTGGTCCATCAGAATCAAGACGGGCTGACTCGGATGCTCAGGTCGATTGGAAGATTGGAATGGCAAGAGCATGCACTCTCCGCTTTGAGTGGAGTTCTGAACCCCCTCCCTTGCAACCCTTGCTTAGATCCAATGGTAAAAACAAGTGCAAATTCGCCTCAGGGCAGCACTCTGAATCGGACAAAGGCAGAGGTGGTGGAGGTGCACCAGACAAGCTTGAGCCCATGCATCGCGCTACGAGATGGTCAAGAACTGTTGCTCAGCTTTGGACAACAGCACAAGATGTGGTGAACACGAAGAATGCTATGAGCAATGCAAGGAAACATCAACACACATGTCCCAACAACGCAACACCGACTACCGACTGATGCAATCTTCCAAGCTCATGAACCGGACCCCGCGTGAAGCGAGAGAGTAGCTTGAAACCATCACTAGCCCAGTCCGAAGCAAGCTTAGGCGAGCAAGGCATCGCTGGCTCTGGCAGAAGACGACCCACTGAACATTGCCAGCTAGCACGACGCAATGCCTTCAGGCACCTAATTCCACTGTGTCAATCATGGATTTGGCTGCTTCAGCCCCCGCATCCACCGCAAGCACCACAGCCGCCACAGCCACCACCCCCGCAAGCACCACAAGCACCGCATCCAGCACCATCTGTATCGGTGAATGCCCAGAAGGAGGAGCTGTCATCTCCTACATACGTATCTCCGTTGTCCCCGGACGAGAACCAAGCGTCACAACCATCTGCATTTGATCCGGTGCCCTCAAACGAGTTTCCAGGAACGGACATTCGCGTAGCCGGGTCGAGCTCTCCTGAGAGGGCCAAAGATCCAAACCCAAGAGGTGGCTGGGTCCTTAGCAATTTCAGCCCTGTCCTCCTGCGGAAATCAGAAAGGGGAACTTGTGCTGTGCGACGGCTGTGTCGCCATATCGGGTCTGGCCACTTCCCAGCGTCTCGACCTTCTTACGAGGCTGCAGGGCCACATGTAGCGCCGCCAGGGCCAAGCCAAAGCCATACGCAATCCCCGACGCCTCCCGGCTATCGCCATGGATCAGACCAGTGGCCAAGTTGATGATCACACGTCCTTCCGCGCTGCCCGCACCCAAAGGGCTCAAATTGAAGTTGAAGACGCTGGGACTTGAAGCCGACTCTGTGACTCGCTCCACTTGGCAAAACCTTTGTGGCTTTAGGGCAAACAGCTTCACCTTCAGCTTGCCGGGATCGCCATGCTTGCCCTTCCTAAAGCCTTGCCACGTGCCCGTAAGCACCGCCACATCTTCTGAAGCCACTCGGACTAGATAGGCGCGTTCTCCTGCGGAGATAGTCGGATAGTCGTCTGCATTACTCACTTGCTGTGGGGACGGAAGTTGGTCTTTCGCGATCAAATGGGCTGTGACAAGTGGCAAGTATGTTGGATCAGCACTGTGCACAACCTCGACATTGCTGCAAGCCTTGCCGTGGATATCTCTTCCGTGCCACACTCGACCCGCAAAGGTGCCATCCGTAGATGCAGACCATCTCTGAAAGCTCGCTTGCAAGCGTTCCAGCTCGTCCTTCTTGTGAATCCACTGTGTGGTGTCATTCTGCCGACCTACGAGACACGAAGCGCGTGAGCCACGGTCAAAATGTACAATTTCCGCAATGGGCGTGGAAAACGAGCAAGGCCCGCTTTTACAAATTTTGCGAGTCTCCCCATGTCCCTCCCCAATTGCCCGTCGACCAAATGGTGATTCTCATGAGCCCAAGCACAGAGGGACATCATGCGTCCGAGTTGCAATATTCTGCCCGCAGGGCAATCCAGAACCGTTGGGTTTCTCTGGGGCCCTGTGTCAACAGCTCCCACTGCTTGGCCTGCCACAACCTCTCCTCGAGGGTGACGTTGCCACGGAACATGCCGCCCGCAGTGGCCACCTTACTCCCAAACTCCTCATTCCACACCTGCTGCGTCCGCTCCCAGGATTCTTGCAGCTTGGAGCCTTCAGAACGGTCGTTGACACCTTGCATCTGATCCGAATGACGTTGGCGTGCGCTTAAGGCGTTGAGATCATGGATGAAAGGCGGAACAACATCTAACATACAGAATGCCTGCCAAGGATCTGTCATCATGGGGTAGCAAGGAGCCACACAGCTCTTTGGTTTCTGAAAGGTAGACATCGGGATGCAGCTGGTGGGCATGCCAAATGCAATCAATGTCATAGGTCGGCACCCAAAACTCCTTTGGATGCCGTCGCTTCAGCTCCAGAAATCTATCCAGGTATCGTTCAACTGCGAGTTCAAGAAAATACTTGTCTCCTCGATTACACCGCTTGGAAAACGATCAACGGCTTACAGTATGATTCTCCAACAAAAACTTCGCATGCAATGCATGTCTAAGGTCCCATGCAACAAAGTACTGGTCATCAGCCATGACTCTCTCCAAGACAAAGCGATTTTCGAAAAGGGACAAACTGTATCCGGGGCACTGTAATGTGGCATAATAGCAACTTGATACCGGAAAGACATTTGTCGCTCGGCTGCTGCAATCAAATCATAGGAGATGGGCGATGACCAAGTAGTTGAGCCCTCGGCGACTGTCAGCTCCTGCGAGCCGCAAGAAACACTGGGCCATTGCGTGCACATGTCTGAAATTCAGCCACTGAATTTATGTTGAACGCCAAAGAAATGCAAATTAATCTAAAATGCTAGAAACAATCCTGAGTTTAGCCCAGCCTTGACGCATCATGATGAAATCCCCCGCAAACACATGACGTGAAATTAACATTGAATTCGCAGTTTCTAGTGAAAAGGTTCCTGCCCTCGACGAGTGTAGGAGTCATTTTCATTTGAGGAAGCATGGGCTCAAAGACTTCTAACTACAACCCCTCACCCAACCACAGCATCCGCGTCTCGACCAGTCCTTGGCAAGGATGGGGAGCACGTCAAAGGGCTCCTGGGTCTGCAGCTTCCAAGCTCCCTGCCCACGTGCCTTTGCCGCCTCCCAGGCGGGTCCAGAGCGGGCCTTCAGGCGGTGAACCGGGGCGCGTTGAACATGAGCCAAGTACTTCTGCGGGCACAGCATATGAAGATGCCACACCCACTCTACGTCCAATGGCGGCACCAAGTCAGGTCCATCCACACCCGCCAGTAAAGGCAGCCAGATGTTGTGGTATCTGTGGATTGCTCGTTGTAGCACAGCATGATTTGCATACAGGCATGGATATCGGTCAACTTCATTGAGGAAATCGATCATATACACAGCAGCTCTCACCAAATCCACCTGAGACTTTCTGAACGTCTCTCCAGCGACTTGGTGCTTCCCGTCGCAGCACGTGTTCCCCATGCTGGCGCTGCTGTTCAGCAACAACTAGCTCGGGATGGACCTAACAAGCCTGCTGAAGGCAAGCGGCAAATACTGCGCGCGCGCCCAGATATGTGTGTCTGTGTGTGTGTGTGTGTCTGTCTCTTAAATCCAACTATCAAATGTAGCGACAATACGACGTGCAACAACTCACCTGATTTCCGCATGCGTCGCCTGGTGATGCAGCGGATTATACTCCTATATACTGCCGTTTGTTTGTCCATTTGTTTTGGAATGCCAGAGCGAAGAAAGCTCCCAGCTTTGCACTAGTACTAGCATAGCCATGAAGCAGTGCCAAGCCAGCACAAACATCAGCCGAAACTCCCTGAAATCCAAAAAAGTTGGGCTTTCTGAAAGTGCAATTTCTTTGTTCATTCCCTTTCAAACCCATGGTATTAATTGGGGTCATCTGGGCCGCGCCCACTTTTGAGCTCCAGCAATACCGAATTAAATCAAAAGAAAACTTAAATCCAACAATCCTAAATCAAAACGAAACTGAAATCCAACAATACTAAACCAACAAACTGCAAGTTTAAATCAAATTCAAAAAGAAGAACGGGCAATACACTTAATCAAATAAAAACATGGACGGAAGCTCCTTTGAGAATCTTTCTGGAATTCTGGAGTCCTCGTTCCCAAGTCAAAAGTAGCATTGCCTAATACTACTGTAGTGTTGCCCAAGACCACCCCGATTGTTTAAGTACCACAATCTTTTTTTGGAGGAAACAACCTTCTCGACCTGCTCCGGGGAGGTGGGGAGCTATTGATCCGATGTCAACATTAATTAATTTCAGCAGGTGTTCGTTCTAAAGTGTCCACAAACGTTGCTGGAGGGTTCTTGGTACTCTTCCATTGCGGGCTGTCATGCCATGCATCCACAAAGGCGAGCTGGTATTGCGCTAGGCGTTTGCGCTCAAGCGAAAAGCCAACGGTGCACTGTCAAACGTATGCGATTCCGGAAATTCGCATGGGGAACTTCATAAGGACATTTAGCAAGACCCACATGTTGGCCGAACACGCTGTAGCGGCATCTGTTACAAAGCGCTGGCTGAAACTGCCAGGCCCAATGGGACCGAGTCAACTCCAAGAAATATCATCTCGGGATGATGGGCCATGAAAATCAGAGCATGTTTACCACTAAAACGGTCCTGGAAAGCTTTGAGGTGAAAAGACTCCATGGCACCGCCACGGTAAACACCCCTCAAGGGTCGGCAAAGGCGCCAAGGATGTTGGGCATGGGCTAAGCGAAACCAAAAGGAGATGGAATCACCTCTTGGCTGCAACGAGGGAAAAAGAATAGGATGTTCATGAAACTGTTTAGACCAAGCCGAGAGGCTTTAGGGGGTGAAATCCACTGAACGGGGTGAAAGGTGGCAGGCAAGCAGAAGCAACATGTGGTGAACGCGAAAGAACGCCATGTGCAATGATGTCGGTGACAAAGCAAGGAAACATCAACACAACCGAAATTTTCCAAGCTCACGAATCGGACCCCCGTGACAGCAAGCACATTCAAAGCAAAGGAATTGATTGAAACCATCAATGGCCGAGTCCGAGCATAAGGTGTTGAGACTTGAGACATGTTCCGTTTTGCCCAAAGCAAGCTTAGGCGTGCAAGGCCGTGCTGGCTCTGGCAGAAGACGACCCACTGGACATTGCCAGCTAGCACGACACAATATGTTTAAGCACTTAATTACACTGTGTCAAGAGTCTCATTGTCAGATTCGAACGAGTTTGCTCCTTTAGCCCCCACAGCCACCGCAACCACCACAGCCGCCACAGCCACCACAGCCGCCACAACCACCACAAGCACCACAAGCGCCGCAAGCACCGCATCCAGCACCATCGGTGTCGGTGAATGCCCAGAAGGTGTAGCTGTCATCCCCCAAATACGTATCTCCGTTGTCCCGTCTGCCGCGATCCCCACACAAGAACCAAGCATCACAAGCATCTGCGTCTGCTCCAACGCCGTCGAACGATTCTCCACGCACGGACATTCGCGTAGCTGGGTCGAGCTCTCCTGAATGGGCCAAAGATCCAAACCCAAAGAGGTGGCAGATGAGCAACTTGACCGCTTGGGTTGTTAGCAATTTCAGCCCTGTCCTCCTGCGGAAATCAGAAAGGGGAACTTGTGCTGTGCGACGGCTGTGTCGCCATATCGGGTCTGGCCACTTCCCACCGTCGCGACCTTCTTACGAGGCTGCAGGGCCACATGTAGCGCCGCCAGGGCCAAGCCAAAGCCATAGGCAATCCCCGACGCCTCCAGGCTATCGCCATGGATCAGACCAGTGGCCAAGTTGATGATCACGCGTCCTTCCGCGCTACCCACGCCCAAAGGGCTCAAGTTGAAGCGGAAGTCGCTGGGACTTGCAGGGGACACCCTGACCTGCTCAACTTGGCAAAACCTTTGCGGCTTCAGGGCAAACAGCTTCACCTGCAGTCTGCCAGGATCGCCATTTTTTCCTTTCTTAAAGCTTTGCCACTTGCCCGTAAGCACCGCCACATCTTCTGAAGCCACTCGGACTAGATAGGCGCGCTCTCCTGCGGAGATAGTCGGATAGTCGTCTGCATTACTCACTTGCTGTGGGGACGGAAGTTGGTCTTTAGCGATCAAATGGGCTGTGACAAGTGGCAAGTATGTTGGATCAGCACTGCGCACAACCTCGACATTGCTGCAAGCCTTGCCGTGGACACCTCTTCCGTGCCACACTCGACCCGCAAAGGTGCCATCCGTAGATGCAGACCATCTCTGAAAGCTGGTTTGCAAGCGTTCCAGCTCATCCTTCTTGTGGATCCACTGTGTGGGGTCATTCTGCCGACCTGCAACGTGTGCCACGGTCAAAGTGCACAGTTCAAGAGGGTGTTGAAAGACTACCATGATCTTGAACAGGCTTCTAACTCACTTCCATGTCGGAAGAAGGTTGTTGGTTTGACACCGTCTTACATGGCCATGGGCCAGTGGCGATCTATTCAAACAGCAGAATTCCTTTTGCCAAGGCAACACAGTGCGCCCTTTGTTCTTGTGGCTTCATGCCTAATGAGTATTAAAAAGCGAGTAAGGCCCTTACAAATTTGGCGAGTCTGCCCGTGTCCCTCGCCAATTGCCCGTCGACCAAATGGTGATTCTCATGAGCCCAAGCCCAGATAATAAAACCAAATAAAATAACTTGAAAATAAGGGAAAAGGGATATTATCTCCTGATCATTGTCAACCCGCCGGATCTCCCGGAAATAGAATGAGATGACATATGAAAGAGACAAACAAGATAAAAGGCATGTCATTACAACTCCAAAAGAGAAGAATTAGAAGAAGACCAATAGATAGATGAAAGAACATCATGCGTCCGAGTTGCAATATTCTGCCCGCAGGGCAATCCAGAACCGTTGGGTCCCATTGGAGCCTCGTGTCAACAGCTCCCACTGCTTGGCCTGGCACGACCTCTCCTCGAGGGTGACGTTGCCACGGAACATGCCGCCCGCAGTGGCCACCTTACCCCCAAACTCCTCATTCCACACCTGCTGCGTCCGCTCCCAGGATTCTTGCAGCTTGGAGCCTTCAGAACGGTCGTTGACACCTTGCATCTGATCCGAATGACGTTGGCGTGCGCTTAAGGCGTTGAGATCATGGATGAAAGGCGGAACAACATCTAACATACAGAATGCCTGCCAAGGATCTGTCATCATGGGGTAGCAAGGAGCCACACAGCTCTTTGGTTTCTGAAAGGTAGACATCGGGATGCAGCTGGTGGGCATGCCAAATGCAATCAATGTCATAGGTCGGCACCCAAAACTCCTTTGGATGCCGTCGCTTCAGCTCCAGAAATCTATCCAGGTATCGTTCAACTGCGAGTTCAAGAAAATACTTGTCTCCTCGATTACACCGCTTGGAAAACGATCAACGGCTTACAGTATGATTCTCCAACAAAAACTTCGCATGCAATGCATGTCTAAGGTCCCATGCAACAAAGTACTGGTCATCAGCCATGACTCTCTCCAAGACAAAACGATTTTCGAAAAGGGACAAACTGTATCCGGGGCACTGTAATGTGGCATAATAGCAACTTGATACCGGAAAGACATCTGTCGCTCGGCTGCTGCAATCAAATCATAGAAGATAGGCGATGACCAAGTGGTTGAGCCCTTGGCGACTGTTGGCTCCTGCGAGCCGCGGGAAACACTGGGCCATTGCGTGCACATGAGGATTTCAGCCGTGAGGCATCATGAAATCCCTCAGCAACACATGACGTGAAATGAACATTGAATTCGCAGTTTCTCCTGAAAAGGTTCCCATGTAGGAGCCATTTTCATTTGAAGAGGCATGGGCGCAAAGACTTCTAACTACGACCCCTCACCCAACTTTTTCTCAAGTCTTCGCCCAACCACAGCATCCGCATCTCGACCAGTCCTTGGCAAGGATGGGGAGCACGTCAAAGGGCTCCTGGGTCTGCCGCTGCCACGCTCCCTGCCCACGTGCCTTTGCCGCCTCCCAGGCGGGTCCAGAGCGGGCCTTCAGGCGGTGAACCGGGGCGTGTTGAACATGAGCCAAGTACTTCTGCGGGCACAGCATATGAAGATGCCACACCCACTCCACGTCCAATGGCGGCACCAAGTCAGGTCCATCTAAACCCGCCAGTAAAGGCAGCCAGATGTTGTGGTATCTGTGGATTGCTCGTTGTAGCACAGCATGATTTGCATACAAGCATGGGTATCTGTCAACTTCATTGATGAAGTCAATCATATACAAAGCAGCTCTCACCAAATCCACCTGAGACTTTCTAAAAGTCTCCTCAGCGACTTCGTGCTTCACTTCGCAGCACGTGTTCCCCATGCTGGCGCTGCTGTTCGGTAACAAATGGCTCGGGATGGACCTAACAAGCCTGCTGAAGGTACACTGCGTGCGTGCCCAGATACCTGTGTTTCTGTGTGTGCCTCCTAAATCCAACAATCAAATGTGGCGACGTGCAAGAACTCATGTGATCTCCGCGCGGTCAGGTTGAAATCTGCGCCTGCGGTATTCAACCACAATATACTCACCAACTTGCAAACAGCCCCAATAGCCTAAATCTTTTTTGGCACTCCGCAAAGCTGCCGTTGTCTGAGCTGCAACTGTAAAGCAGCTTGAAACGAGCCCTTCAAACAGCGATGAAAGCTACTGTAGCTCTGAGGCTATGCAAGAAGCGTGCAATCATTGATTGCCATGAAGCAGACTTGGCCAATATCACAATCCATCAACACGAAACATTGATCACACAGCTTCTGGCAGCAAGTGTCAGAGCAAGAGGCAACACTGAGCTGGGACATGTGACACTGCCATGCCAACCACTGAATTGCTTCAAAGTAACTGTTTGCAAAACATGGTTGGCGGAACGATGACTGCCACTAAATCCAACTCATTCACCCAAAAATGCCAACATAGAAGAGAGCCAATCCAAAAATTGCACCTGCAAGAATGTGGTAGTCCAAGCTGAAGTCCAACACGCTGTTGTTCACGTCGGAGCCAGTTTTGGGGCCTGCCCCGAGCGCTTCCATGAGCCAATCAGGCATCTCCATTTGAAACGTGAACGGGCTGCCGGGCCCCTCATTGAATTCTGGGCGCGGTTTTGGCAGCCGTTGCACTGCGAAGTTGGTGGTGGTTACAAAAGCGCCAAGAAGCAGCGCGAGGCCAAAGATGGCCCGAGATCGTCTCGCCATGCCAAATCCGATTTCGGCTGTGTGCTTTGAGTTCAATTTGCCCCAACCTTCTGAGCAGAAATAAATGGCTGTCCAACGCGGCAGGATCATGTGTAAAATGACTTGCGGATGCTATAGGAATTGCAAATGAAGGCAACTGTGCTGTTGTTGATGATCATCATCAGGGCCCTCATTGACAGGTCACATCCTTGCATCCTGCGGAAGGTTCAACTTATTGGTGCTGCCAAAAATGAACTGCTATGAAATCCGACATCAAAACAGAAGCCAGCAGTAACATACAGGACAGACCCCACCGAAAAATGTTATATCACGTGGAAACCGGAATTCTGTTTGGAGCCCTTGCCGGAAACATGAAGATCGCATAACACACAAAACAAAAGGCGCCCTACTCAAAGACCTGCGTTGGGTCCCAACCGGGTACGTGAAGGGATTGACTTCCCAACATGTCGCGCTGAGCCAGAGGGCTCGCAATGGTGCTGTTACGCGTAGTAGTAAAGAACACAGTCTTATAGTAACCTATTATTTTGCGGTTTTGGCCCGAAAAGGATGCATAATCGGCACTTTTCGGCGCAATGTCGTCGCTTGTCATTGGGATGTCACTGCTTGTCACCGGGTTCCGCGGGGTGAAAAAAGGGCACAAAATGGCCAATTTCTGCCACTTTTGAAAACCTTGAGAGCGGCTCTGAAGGCTTACACGCCTCGATATCAGGGCATTATTGAGTCAATATTGAGTCATTAATGGCAAAGGAAAGCCGGGCGGTGCAGCTCAGACCTTGTCCCCACCAGGATTCGAGCCCAACCCTTTGGGGTGACACGACAGCCAGCCGAGAGCTTGTCATTGTTTCTGTGACAGATGTCATCGTTTCTGTGACACATCGGCGTGTCCTCGGTTCTGCGAGGTATGTCATCGCTTGTGTGGCTGCAGTCATCGTGTCTGCAGAGCGCGTCTCAGCGTCGCAAGTCATCGATTCATAGATGTCATTGTTCATTGCCAGGATTCGAGCCCCGGGCCAGGGCGGTGCTGAGAGGCGCGTTCTACCGACTAAGCTACGGGGCCTTTGGGGTGACCGGCAGCCGAGCTTGTCAACAGGTTTTCCGAAGTGGGGGCCAGCAACCCCGACCGGCAAACTGTCACCCCGTGACTGGCGTGAAGCCGACGCGGGGCGCGGTCGTTTGAGGCCAACCTCTTCCTGGCCCGGGAAGTTGGTTGCGCTCTCGCCAATTGGACCCTGGAATGCCTTTTGGCTCGGGTTTTGGGTTGGGCTCGCATGAAACTGATGGTTTGGGCTCCCCCAGTAACCCTGCTCGGCATTTCGGCCAATTGGTTGACGACTCCTCTTGATGGTTTCTTGCTGATTTCGATGCATGCACTCGTGCAGACATTTGGAACATTTTACAACTCGGCCATTTCGCTTTGGACGAACCTCTGCAGTACGCGCAGCCTGCCTGTTCCTTGTGAACCGCATACAGGACGAACCAACGTGGTGATCTCCAACCTTGTTGCAGCAGGGGTGCAAAGATGATGGTTTTTCCTATCAGTGCAGTTTGTGTATATCGGGTTACGTCAGATCTTTCTGCATTGGTATTTTCCAACACCGATTTGGGCTCTTTGGACAAGGACCATGCTCTGTGTCTGTACCAGGTCGAAGTGCGTGGCTTGATCCCTCAGTTGCATCTTGACTTGGACCAGCGTTCGGCTTGGTTTCGATGGGCCCGGGTGTGTCCCCTCGATGCCCGTTGCGTTGCTGAACTCTATGCTGGGGGTTATGGGGTCTCGCGCTTTTCATCTATTTGGAAGACCGTTTTGGCAAATCCTGAAAAGCTAGCGGCATACTTGGATACGTCACATTGCCGATCAGGCATCCACATGCTCCAGGTTCCAAGTGGCTACTTTGGCAGGGACCATCAAGCAACACGGAGTTGTGATTGGGAGCGAAGCACTTGGCAATCAGTCTCTGATTTTCAATAGCGGCATCTCCGCCATGTCAGCCTTGGTCAGGTGCGGCTCGTCAGGACGGTTTAGCTGACACCCGTGGTATTGAGTTTTTGAACCTGTTGCTTATCATGCGAGTTTCCAGAGTTCCTTGGACGATGCTTGAGAATGTCGGATCTATTGTTGAGCACTCACACATGCCCTTTCTTTGCATGGCTATTCGTTGGTCGGGCTTCTTTGTCAAGTGGTTTTGCCAAACGGCTCCGTGTATAGACGTGTCCACGATTGCTACGCCTGCCCAGTTTCCACACAGTCCGGAATCAGCTCACGTACTTGATATTGGACGCAGTATGCACAGGCACCCGTCCATGCACCCACCTGATGAGGTCTTGGACAAATATGATAATCACGATTTGCTGCCTTCCGCAATGGGCAAATCGCTCTCAGGCGCCATTCAGAAGCGTGTGCATTTGGTACAGAAGCCCTTTGTGCCAGTCCTGGCTTCATACACCACATCCCACCTGTTCTCGGACGATCTGCTTCGCAACAAGGGGTTGTACGGGGAGCTCATTTTTGACCCTATGCACACTGAGGGACAGGATTGCAAATACCGTTTCCTCTCGCCGGTGGAAATTGGTCTCGCACTCGGGATTGACACCAAGCTCATCTTGCCAGTGACACTTGAGAGTTCACCACTGAAATGGGCGCTGGAGGTTTCGTGCAATGCCGTCACCTCAGATCCATTTGCGTAAGCCTTGTTATGAGCCCATCGGCTACCCCCATTTACAATGACGGCGAAATCGCCAGACATGTCGCCTACCCAGCAGTTTGAGCCGGACATTTCTTGGCAGATTCACACTGGTGCTTCTGTCCACTCGATTCAGGCCGCAGCATCTACCCCGTGTGTCTCTTTGGTGGAGAGTATCAAGACGGAGGCCTGGACTTTCCTAGTCATCATGTGCTTGATGGATTGCTGTCCTGTCAAAAAGTTTCCCAGGTCGTGCTGGAGCCGTTGTCGATCAAACTGTCAGGATAGGATGCGCGATACAACAAACTGACCACCGCGACTCAGGACCAGGTTCGGATTCGGGCGCGGTCTCACCCCACCTCGGCCTTTATCCATTGGATCATCAGCGACCGTCAGGTTCCCCTTCTTGCGTTCAGGGCTCCCCCTCCAACAATTTTTGATGAAGTGGCGCCATACATTCGCTCGGCCATTTTGAGTGTTGTCACTTCGAAGAATGCCAGATTGCACATTCGCACATGTGAAGCATTATCCGATGCGTCACGCATTGCCCCGGTCCTCAGCAATCCGCTAGAGTGTCTGTCAGTGACGACGTCGACTAGTGTGAGTGAACCTCCATTTGTTTTCACATGTTGGCACGGAACCAAGCGTCAAAGTTGGCATCTCACTTCCTTGAATGAGGATAAGATTTGGCACTGGTATTCCGATGAGCCGTATGCGCCTGTTTGACAGCCAGGGTGAGCAGGATTTCCAGCTAGACAGGTTGTGAGGATGCGCCGCTTTCTCGAG